CTCTCCACGCCAGCCCGCCGGGCCGCTCCGGAAGGACCACGCTGTCCCCGGCGACACAGCGGGACCGAGCCGGGGTCGGGAACAGGGCGCCTGAACGCCCCCCACCCAGGAACTGGAGCACGAGCAGGTCACACTTCAAGGCGAGAAAGGGGACCCTGGAGGTCAACCGCAGGTCACGACGAGCGGAAGAAACAGGAAAACCGATGTTGACCAGCCGGCCGAGGAGGCCGCCCCGCCAGCGAGGGACCCCAGGGCGCCGCGGACCCCGCCTGTCCGCGCCCCGCCCCCCAGCGGTGGGCGTCAGGAGATCCACCTGTCGGATGCACTTTCGTCCTTTGAAAGTTCTCTGGATTGACTGTCCGACATTGTCTTCCAGGACAGCGACACACTGAGAAACCCGTGAAAATTAGAACCGAGCAAAGTCACGCCGCGCAGGGAAAGAAAAGAGAAGGAAAAATCCAGGTAAGAGAGAGCAAGGCTCCAGCGGCCAGGCCCGGACCCCTGGGGCGCCGCCGCCCACGCCCGGCGCGGCACAAACTGGCCAGCAGGGGGGGCCCGAGAGCCGCGCTCCCGCAGCTTCCCTGCCCGCCTCAGGACAAGCTACCGCGGAAAGGAACAAAACGTGATCGCTCCAAGTTATTTCCAAGAACAAAACTCCCAGAGCTCATGAAAGTGCAGGAGAAAGACGGGCCCATAGAGCAGGAGAGACCCGTGCGGGCCGGCCCGGCCCGGCTTCAGAGCCGTCCGAGGCACAGGCAAGGTAAAAGCGAGCAAAGAACACCAGGTGCGGGACGTAGAAATTCAGACGGGACGCGAAGATCGCTTCAAGCGAAGCGGAGAAGGAGAGGAAATTTCAATCACAAATGAAGAAAGTGAAGAAGGGCCAGGAGAGCTGAGGAACAAAAAGAAATCCCCGCCCCCGGGGCCCCGAGAAAGAATGGGGAACAGGGAACAGAGTAACCCTAGAAATCGGTTCCAGAACCCCGCTGCCGTGAGGAGCGCGCGGGCGCCGGCCCGGAGGAAGCCGACCGAGCGGCAGCACGGCCCGGGCCGCTCAGGCGCCCAGGAGGGACGGCTGGCGTGCAGGAGGAGGCGCCTCGCCCTGGGCACCGCCTTCCGGCACCGGCGGAAGCGCCAACCGGGATTTCAGCTTCTCACTTCTGAGATTTGTGTCACCGAGTGCTGCACACAGGAGCTGGGGTGCGGGCGTCCCTCGCTGGGGATGCAACTCGCCCTGCGGGGGCTGGGCAGCTTCAGGGAGCTGAGACTCAGCCCTGCGCCCCAGGGAGGCCCCAAACCAAGAGTCTTACACCCCGACTAGCCAGCCAAGGCAGCCCCGCAGGTCACAAGAGGAGTACCCGCGACACCCTGAAACACGCCCAATGCCCCGAAACCTTAAGTCCAAAATACCGATCGACCTGTGCACCGGTCACCTCGGGGGCGGCGGCGGGCACGTTCTTGTGTGAAAGGGCCGCGTGCCTGCAGCACTGAGAGCCGCCAGGGCTGGGAGGGGCGTGGCCGTCTCGGAGCCCTGCAGGCCCCGGCACCCGGGACAGCAGCAGCCAGCGCCGGCGAGGCCCGGCCAGCAGCCCGGCTCACCGGAGCGTGAAGTGGGGCGCCCTGGGCAGGGTCAGAGCGCAGCACTGACAGGCCGCCTCGGCAGAGGCCCCCCAGGCGCAGCTGACCCTCCTGTTTCCCGCTGCCCTGCAGCAGTGGGTTTCGGTCCATCCGCCTGTCTTGCTCCGCACTCTGCCTCTGAGGGGTCCTACCACCCCCATACCTCTGGCCTGCACCCCAGTTCTGTTATATTTGAAAAACAAAGCACCAAGTGCAAGGAGGAAGGGGGTGAAGGACCGCACCCGCCGTCTGCGGGGCTCACGCAGCCCGGGCAGAGGCAGACAGAACGAGGCCGATTGCGGCCCCGGCCGGAGGACCCGGGGCCGGGTGGGCGGCGCAGTCCAGCCTGGCGGCGGCCACACAGCACCCACCAGGGGCCCGTGCGAGTCCCAAGGCCTGCGCTGGGCACAGCACGCTCCGCAGCGAAGGGCAGACTCTGCTCTCTGGTCTGTGCCTGAGGACACGCCGCGGCCGGCTCGCGCGCTGTCTTCCCGTGGCGCCACTGAGCTCACCCTCCGCACCCCGGCAGCAGCGGTATGCGCCCGCCGCCTGCTGGCCCTGACCGGCCAGCTGATGGGAAATGTCACCGAAACACACCCAGAACCCGGGAAGCCCGTGCCGCCTTCGGGGCGAGGTCCGAGTCGCCCTGTGGTTCTGGGGCCACCCCGGGCGTCACAACGCCATGGGCAGGGGCAACAGCGAGCGCCAGCCCAAACCGGCTGCCCTGCGGGCCACGGGGCCGACGGGCACCCACGGCACCACCCTCGCTGCCCGGTGCACGGCGCCCTCCGCCCTGGACAAGCCCGAGCGCCACGCAGAGCTGCGCCGTCCCGAGGGATGGCTCTGGGCCCGCGTTCCCGCCCCGCCTTTCCCTGGGCTTCTCGCTCAGGGGGGTGAGCATGTCCGGGACGCCGGCCCGGCGAACACGGGTCCAGGCTGGGCTGACCGGCGCCCCCACCACACCGGACCGCGCACGGGCAGCCTCCCTGGCACGCAGCGCTCCCCCACGGGCCACGCGGAGTCGCCAGGCTGCCCCTTCCCGTCACGGGAGAGGGCGCGCCGTCTCGCCTGCGGACAGGGGGCTCCCCGGCACGGGCTACTCACTCATGTTCAGGGCGGCCATCCCTCCCTGCGGGGCCGCGGGGTACACGCTCGGCACGTTCGTGGTCATGAAGTCCGCGATCTGCTGCAGCGCCAGCAGGCCCGTGGGGTTCTTCCCCTTCTTGAACTGCTCCTGGATCATGGACTCCAGCTCTTCACAGAAAGCCTGGCGGAGGCACGCGGGCGGGAGGCGACACTGAGACGGCTGCGGTCCAGGGGCAGGGCGGGGCGCCCCAAAGCAGCGCGTACCCCGGGAGGCTGTCTGGGGACAGGCAGCGGCGCGCGCGGACTTGGCAGTCCCGCGCCAGGCACACGGCGGCGTCG